TTAATCCATATATCTTTTTTCTATTTTTGGCATATTAAGGTAATTTCTTTTTAATATAACCTCAAGCTTTAGAAATATAGAAATTTCCATCAATAAACTATAATGTAGATTTGAATTCCATGCTTTTTTAATCAAAAGGTAGAATTTTAATTAACATTTGCTTTTTTTCTTTTTGAAAAAGAATCATGTTTATTTACTTTCTACAGCTATGCAAGTCTATATTAAGACAGCATTAAATGTTTACTTTAATCTGTACTTTCAATGTTAAGAATCAAAAGATTTTTTTTTAAACATGTAATTTCAAATGTGTTTAACACACACCAAGAAAAAAAGTAATTTCGTTAACTAAAATTAATTAATACAGTAATTTATTTAAAATAAATTTTAAAACTAAGAAAAGAAAATAATAAAAGTATCAATAATTTAAAGCACTGTTTTTTAACTTTTAAAATCAATATAATATATATATATAATTAAAAATCAGTTGATTTAAATCAATGATTTTTTTTAAAAAATCATTTGATTTTAATCATGATTTAAATCAAGCTGATTTAAATCAACAAACCCTGCCGTTTACCCAATAATATGCTTTCAAATTTCTAAAAAAAAAACAATTTAATCAACTTTAAAAATGTTTGTGACTTTATTTTAAAACTTAAAATTAATTCGTGCTATTTTATTAAGACTAAATTTACAAAACATTATGGTTATTTTGTACATAAACAAGTTTTAAATAAAATCAAATTATATTTATACAGATTCCAAACTGATTATTCTATTCAAATGAAAATTCATAAATTTTTTCGGTTTACTGGTATCTACATTAATTTTTTACAGTGAGCTATAGCATTCACAATAATTGATAATGATGTTTAGTAGCATTGAATTTCGCAATTAAGTTATTGCAAGAATATGATAGTAAAGACATTAGCAACAAGCATTTGAAGAGTAAGCTTTGGTTAATAAATTATTATTTAAGAAGAAATTAAATATTCTAAAAATTTATGCATTCAAGAAATAATTTATTCATTAAGTTATGTATCAAGAAATTACTAGTCTTATAAGTCATACATTATAAAAACACATACAAATGAACAAAAAATGTGGTTTTCTAATTAACACAACAAAAAAAATTGCAATAATGTAATGAAAACTAACTTTAATTTTGAGTTTTTTTTATTTGTTACTTCTTATTGATAGGCTAACAGAATAGTATATATTTTATACTTAAAAATAGTGGCTGATTTATCTAAAATCTTAAAACTGTTTGCCTCAGAATACAAAATAAATGTTCTCCAAAATTTTTAAATAAAAAAAAGTTTTTTTATTTTGAAAAGTAAATCTTAATGTTACACTTTTTCTTTTCATGGATGTCTCACTCACTTTTTATCCCTAAATATCTAATTAATTTTAGCCTAAAATTTAAAATGTATTTTTAAATAAAAAATATAGATATAAAGACAATGCTTCTGTACCCCCCCCCCCAAAAAAAAAACTGTACAAACCCCCTCTCTCATTAAGGTAAGTTACTACATAACAAAGTATTTAGGAAAAAAGTTATAATGTACAGTGCACAAAATGTAAAAGTACAAACAAAATCTTTCAGATATTACAATTTAATAAAATTTTTACAACACAATCAATATTAATTTCAATAGAAAAAAAATTGTAAATTTTTAATACGTCGAATTAAAAAGCGATCGAGTACCTGTTTTTCAGCATCTACAATTTCTATCAGCCTTGTGTGATACAAGGAATTCGTTCGTCTAGATAAAAACTTTACTCCATTTAATGTTGCTTCTTTAACGTCTAAATCATCAAGTGAAACTTTTTGCCACCCACCAGGGGTTGCATAAACCAGGGGGATGAGAGCGAAAAACAACAACTTCATCATTTCAAGCATGAAGTTTTTCCGTAAAATATAAACATCAACCAGTCCTCATTTATATAAGTTGTCAAAAATATCAACAAACCAAATCATGAACGTTTATCAAATTACAGTGCATTAGCAAGCAACATAAAGTTTAAACGTTTTACCGTACGTAAAGCTGCAAAAGTTCAAGAAACACCAAGGAAGACTCAAACTCAAAAAACTGGAAATGTTAGTATACACCAATTATGTGATATGGGGAGAAAAAAAACAGATATGTTGCTATCATTCATTGATGACTGATTGAAAAATAGGGGGGGGGGGTAAAAAAAATTGCGTAATTTTTACTGATTACGTTCTTGAGCCGAAGTTCAAGAGATCACTTCAATTATTATAGTTATAACTTAAAAATGGAAGCGCGTTGGAGAAGTCTACATATCTCCTCATACTGATTTTAGATTTTATTATTTAGTGTGCACATTCTACTATATTTATTTGATAATATTTTTTTGATATTTATTTAAAATTATAAATTATTAAACTGATCTCGCTTCATTTTTGTGAGATCAGTGTTGCTCCTTGTGCACCTAATTTCAGAAAGTGATATAATTATGGAACATTTTAAAATTTTTATTGTATTTTTTTTCAAAAAATTTAATTATTATGATTTTTACTTTTTCTCAAATTTTTTCTGTCTTCATTTATTTCCGTAAGTCAAAACGAAATCTTCAAGTTCTTTCATATATGAAATACTATCTTATGCAGTTAGTATTTTTCTTCCTATTTCAAAATTTAAAAAGCAGCCTAATTATATTAAATACTATTAAACAAATTTTAAAATCTCTGATTTTTTTCTATATAAAATCCTCTTATGCATGCCACATTAGTGTTAGTTTTTACACTCCGAAATTTACAAGAAAAATTAGTAATATTGTTTTTAATATTTAATGCTGGAATATTTAATTTGTATTCAAATTGTACAAATTATTATCGTAGTTTAGTTTTTATTCCGTTATTAAACATTTTTTTAAAAATTAAGACAATAGTTTATCGCCTTAATTTCCGTAAATTTTCCTCTTTCGTTTTCTGTGTGTTAAAATACGCCGTTATTTCTGTGTGTTTAATATTGAATAAGATCAAATACGGAAAGGTAATTTTTTTTAAAAAATGGTATATTACGGAAGTAACCTTTCATACGATCCCTTTGTATTCAGAACACTGGACGATAAAGCGCTTTTTAAACTTCTAAATTTCGTAAAATCTGTTGAATCGAAAGTCCTGTGGTCGGTTGCTGAGCAGTACCATGGGTACAGGGATCTGGAGGAAATTTCCTTCCCCTTCAGACTTATGTCTAAATTGTAGAAGTGGCCTCACAAAAGTGAGATGGCATGTCTTTGGATCAATAGCCCACTGTGCAGCGCTCGTGCGATGTAAATAAAGTCACATATTTAGCTTAACATCTAAATTCGTGCAACGTAAATTTAATACAGCTATTAGAGATTTATAGGACCTGTGGTAGCATTGTAAAATTATTTTTGACTTTTTAAAGTTTTTTTTTTTTTTAAAAAAAAGAGACTAATTTTAAAGAAATGTACAATTGATGTAGGAAAATTAACGTCAGCACCTAACAAATTTTAGATTCATTAGTTAATTCTTTCTTTAATACAATTTTCATATGTGTGATTGAAGATTGAATCAAATGCTATGTCCATCTTCTTAAAATATGCATTTTGAGTTTCTTAAGCACTCATTTCAGGCTACGTCCGTTTCCTCAAACACGCACTTTCAGTCATGTAAAAAGCTTAGTGACGTCAAGTTGTGAACTCAGGGAGTAAGCAGTGTTGTCGATGGAAACCGAAGCAATGTAGTGCAGCGAAACAGAGTTTGTGAATATGTGGTCCCGATTTAAAGTTTAAAAAAATGAAATATTATTCGAAACAGACCATACTTTAAGCGATTTTAAAACGGAGTTCAAGCACTATCTTTTAAGTTGCGTCATTCTTGAATTCTCAAAGTGAAAATGTTAAAATAAACTGCAAGAAGAAGTTTTCGTTTTTAAAATGTGATCCTCATTATTTACAAAAAAATTTTAGCTTGATAAATTTAATTTTATTTTGTTACTTAGGTAACAATTATATGAATACATTTTTATAAGTCACGCAGTGGACTAACCGTAAAGACACGGTTCCCGGTAGAACACCAAGCAAGTTTCACTGGCTGCGGTCAGTAAGCGGGTGGGTGACCACTTTGATCAGCCTGCGTAGAGATCGAGGGCCCGTGGCATCGGTCCTCATTAAATTGTTCTACCATAAAGCGGTAAATTTTTAAATAAAATCTTTAACGATTAGTTTTATATCATTAAAATTTTATTCGGATTTTGCAGGGGAAAAGTAAAAAATATATATATACATATTAATTAATCCTGCAAGGAAACATAGAAAATCACAGAATTTAATTTAGAAATATATATAAGTGGAAGAAATTTGTTTTCTGTTCTTGACAGTTTAAATAAGTAAAGAAATCATTGCATTTGCATCATCCAGGATAAATTATAAAGTGTGCTGTGGTAAATTATAAAGAATTCCAATTCGGAATAAGATGAAAATTATAGTAAGTGAGAAATCAATAGTCTGGAAAATAAAAATAAATGCAACTCATTTTCTTTCTTATCGTAACTGATTATGATAATCTATAACCCAATATCTTTTATAAGTGTCAAGTCATGTGTCAGCTTTTGTCATCTCTATCTTCTGTTGATTTAAAATCTCATGTTTTTTGGTGATTTAAGGCTTATCACCATCCTTTTGTGTTACATATACTTTGTTTTTGAATTAGTTAACCCTTTGTCCTGCATGCAATTTCATTTCAGGTACTATTTTTAAATTGAATAGAAAACAAAAACCTTAGAACTATTAAGTAATTTTATGTGTAATAATTTTCACTACTACAAGCAGAGTACAAGGTGTTTCATAACGAGCACCATTAAAAATAAGAAGTCACTTCATTTGAAAATGAAGGTCAGCGGGTACCTCTAGAACAGGGGTCCCCAACCTTTTTGTACCAAAGAGCAAATACCAGAATATCGGTCGAATGGCGGGCACCATTTATTTTTTCAAGATAAATTTATAGTTGGTAGACATAGGAAATAATACACACTGCATATAATGCACAAAAAATTTAATTTTAAAAATTAATTTAACATATGAATATAATTAGTATTAACATCCTTGAGTAAAATAAATTATTACGAAATTGCTTGCAAAACATACAAAGTATGAGTTCATATATGCAATTCGCGAGTGGTCAGCTATATTTTGCTTTGTGCTTATATCTGTGGGGATGGCGATTTCTATTTTGGTTGTGTTTATCATCCATATTGAAAAAGTAAAAAATATTGCTTAACATTTTATGGGAAAATGGAAAACTTAAGTATTTTATCGTTGGGCACAAGCAACGGGCGCACCTAAACCGATCGAAGGGCGCCATGGTGCCCGCGGGCATAGGGTTGGGGACCCCTGCTCTAGAACCATAAGGTAATACGGGTTCAAATCTCAGCGATGGCTAATCGATTTAAACTTCGCACTTGACTCGCACCGACCATAGAGCAAACGTAAAATATCCCTAGTGTTAAACGGATCATGGGTTAGAGTAGGGCCGTCAGGCTAACCGTGAGAGATTTTTGTGGTTTTCTCTCTCCATGTAACGCAAATGCGGGTTAGTTTCCTCAAAAAGTCCTCCACGAAGGCAAAGTTCTCCCAATACTTAATCATCTGGATTGGGTTCAAAACTAAAAGGCGGTAGTCATAAACCCAAAATTGGGCCGGCTGTTCAACGATAATTAAATAATAAAATTATACCCTTAAAATGTTGGTATTTTTTTTAATCTTTTTTTATCACTTAACTAATAAATAAAATAATGATTGATCATAGTTTAGAAACATTTCTTTCTCTTTTAAGGCTTGGTTTCTTAGCCTGTCGTCCTAAACGTCGGCGTCAGCTGGAAATCAGCGTTAACCTCTGATTGGTCCACTTGTGAGTTTCATAGTATACGTCATCGAACGCTCATCTTGAACTACAATTGCCGTCCAACTCAACTGCAGTTGGATTACAACGTGACGTTAACCACAGAAGCAATGGCGGACAACATCCAACAGCACATTGAAATCAGCCAAGATTTTGATTTTGACATTAAACATAGCTTCTTCATTAAACATAGCACTCTTCATTTAGCTCAGCTATAAT